ATTATACTTATTATTTCCTAAAAAAATTATTTTGCTTATTTAGGAACTATTAAGAATAATCTTGTTATTAGTTTAGTATTTATTTCTTTTATTGTTAGAAGTCTTATTTTGTTAGTGTTTTTTCCTATTTTACGATTCTAATAATTTTAGATTATGTAAACATCCTATAGGTTATTCAACATTCTTTTTCAAACTATGTATAAATACAAACTATTGATACTCTTATTGATTGAGTTCTTAACAATCCTGTGATTGTGATTGTGAAAATCTTCTGCTTGTGGATGTTGCTGATTTCTGTGAGTGGATTTGATTTTCATTTTTTTTTAATTGTTTCAAACCCTGTACCTATTGTGCTATATCAGTTTGGTGTTAGACTAAAGTTCTTGTTTCTGGGATGAAATCTGCACTCTACAGAACTCAAAATTTGCCAAAGGAAATAAAAAAAAATATCTTAAGCTGTAATCAGAGAAGAAACATAAACTAAATTGTGCAGAAGGAAGAAAAAAGGCAAACCAGCTGCTACCATTGACTTCAACCAAATCTTAAAACCCCCCTTGGAGGGGGTTGACGTTGCCCCGTCCATTGGCTTCAAAGAAATTTGAGTGACGCCTCCACCATAGCTGCTAAACCCATCCGAATATGCCTCATCATTAGCTTCAGGATTTGGTTAAACCTGGATGGATTCATAAGTAGGTTTGTTAGACATCATACTTAAGAAGGAATTCTTAAGCATCATGCAGCTAGACAACGAGAAAATACTCAAAACAATTTATTCTCTCCTTTCTTCCTCTCAATCAAAAGTGATTACATGGTGTTTAGGATGCTAACATATAAAATTCTATTCTACATACAATTGTAGAATACTAATAGAAAACCTAATACTTAAGGGAACTATAATTAAAATCCTAAAGTTAATAATGATCTAATCTTATCCATACTATTACACTAGTTATAGATTAACTAGATACGATTCCAAATCCATTTAGAGATTCTAGTTCGGATTCATTCTTCATAATTCACTGTAAAAGGATTCTTCAGCATCATAATAAGAGTTGATTACATCAAATAAGCAAACATTGAGAAAATTCTCAGAATAATTTACTCCTTGCTTCCTCTCAAAACTTAAAGATTTTTTTCAATGGAACAAAAGTTGAAGATTTTAAACTCCAATTAAAATCCTGAAGTTAAAAATTGTAATATTACCCATACTCTTACACTAAATTGTAGATTGTCTAGAAATGCAATTCTTAATTTGTTTAGAAGTTCTAATTTATATCCATTTTTAATGATATTTGGCTCTTAAATGGAGTTTAACAACTATATGTATTTCCAATATAAGATTCCGGAATTGCAACACCAGACCAACTTTGCATTTATTGGATCTTTGCCTTCCTAGTTGCCATGAGCAAGACTGACAACTGATCTGTAACCATCACCTAGGGACGAGTCCACACCTCAGAAAGCCAACTCTCTTTGGTGATAAATGATTGGCATATGGACCTGCCCTATGAATGGCCTTGACTTTTGCCCTCTTATATACTAATTCAAGCCATCAAATTGTCTTGGCTCTATTTGACTAGTTCGGCCACCTTCAGACCAGTTCAGCCTGTTTTGTCACCTTTGTTAAAGCATGTTTGCTAAAATTCGTAGTCTAGAATTGGACAAGTAAATTAACGTTTATTGATGTATGCCATTAAGTTATTTATTTAAAATGTATGCTAAGCCTTCTAATTGACTTGGTTGAAGAGAAATGAATGTAATGCTGGTAATGTCATGCCATCATTTGGTAGAGGGCTTGAATGATGGGTTATGGACACTGACCATATGTATATAAACATACTCATTTGACTAATGAACTTTTTTTCTTTTCTGGACCAAACTAAATAGTCTCATTAAGGTATATCAAGAGCCAAGTTGATGCACCTTTTCCTTTATGAAAGGCATTGGTTGTTGATCAACTTCTTTGGCATTTAAATACTAACATGAGACTTGATGTTGTTTATTGAATTTGTGAGCTAACTAGAATAGCTACAACTATAATTTCTTATGATGATTCATAAATGAAAATCACTTGAGATGATTGTTTCTATATATGAAATATTAGCTTACTGGACTTAGCAGTCACATGTTAAGGAGATCCTAATTCTTGAAATGTCACAAGGTTAATTATATTTACTAATCTTGGATCTTGATTTTGAAGTGTTTATTCCAGAAATGTTTGAGCACTTCTGGAAGTCTACATGACCTTAATGGAGATATGTTATCTCATACATTGAAGCGATTGTGATCACTCCTGCAAGAAAGTGACTATATCTCTCTAGATTTTCTCTCTCCACTTGTACACAATGTTAGAAGAAATAAAGAAAAGGTTTTACTACTCATAAGTTAGTTGAGAGAGTTCTTCAAAGTTATGTCATTTAGCTTAACTAATTTTTTTTAAATAAAAAATATAAATTATATCAACAAGCACCAAAGAGATGTCAACCCGTATACGAATTATTTATATATTTACAAAGATGTCAACAAAGTCCCCCACTTCCTCCAGAGAATATAGAGTGATCAAAATCCCCACAATGTTCTGGTGTACCAACCTTTTTCATATGCTCCAAACTTTACTTTTATCTCCCTTCTCCATAATATACCCTCTCCTTTCATAAACCTCTAGAACCATGTACCTTGTAAGGCCATGTTTTATATCCGCCTGGGATCTTAATCTCTGTCTTTCCATTTATTTTAAATCCTTTTCTTACCAGGCAATGAAATCTTTAAATATTCAACTACATTATTGTTGTGATATCATGATATATATTTTTTTGAAATAAAAGAGAAATATTATTATGCACAAAGATACCAAAAGGGTACCACTCCAATAATACAAAATTAACAATCGATCAGGTGGTCCATAATAACCTTTATATCATCCCAATCAATTATGTCATGACCAATCAAAATAAAACCAAAAGTATAAAACCATCTATTTCTAATATTTACAATATCTGTTTCAAGATCCTCAAAAGCCCTAGCATTTCTCTTCCTCCAAACCACTCACATAATGGAAAGCGGGATAAGAAATAAATCTTTTTTCATTTTACATAATCCAACCCACGCCCACAACTCCTTACTAACACTACCCGCTGTGGCCCACATCAAAACCAAAATTCCATACACATGCTCCCAAATTCCATAGACCACAGGACAATGAAATAACAGGTGCTTGCAAGATGCTTCATCAGCTTTGCACATATAGCACCTATTGGTTATTATCATTCCTCTTCTTCTCAGTGCATTATTGGTCAAGATTTTTTCTGACAGCTTCCCAAATGAAAAAAGCCCTTCTGGGCAGAGCTTTTGACCTCCAAATATGCTTAAACGGTACTGTCCTGGCATTCTCCTCATCATTTTTGGCATTGAGGTTATAATAGGACTTCACAGAAAGGCCATTTTTCATGTCTGGTTTCCAGATTCTTTTGTCATTCTCGTTATTCAACTTATAATCAGCAAACCACCGCAGCAGATTACAGAATTCAACCTCCTCATCCTCAATTAAACTTCTTCTAAGCTGAATACTCCACCCCCCACCCCCTTATATATCGTGATACATGCCTTGTTAAGTAGCCCAATAATGGGATATCATGTTAACGCTTAGTTTGGAGGCAAAGATGAATGGGGATCAAAATATTTATTGTATTTGTTTGTGATATCATGCTTACCACATGCCAATAATATCTAGCAAGATGATGTTATTACCATTGACCACTTAGACAATGAGCAAGTTAGTTAAAGCATTGGTGAGATTATGAAGGATGTTGCAGTTCCTACTGAACACAGAGAGTCATCTACCGATGCATCTCTCGATTTGGTATTAAGCAATGACGTCAATCAAGTTAATGTCACATAGGTTGAGGATGATTATATCCTAGTTGATTTAAACTACATGATGAAGAAATTTGAAGAGACTACAACAATAACTCTTTGGGATTGGATTTGGTCATAACTGATTGTTTGAAGGAGGAGTTATGTGCTTGGAGTGGTATTCATGGTGGGATAGGAGAGTGAGGCTCATTTTGTTAGCTACTTTTTGGGTGATTGAAAAGAGAGGAATAGAAGGGCATTCAAGGGCAATGAATTCAACTTTGATAAATTCAAGGATAATTAGTTCCATACCTTGAGCTTTTGTTAAAGGGTCATATGCTATATATAAGCGAGGATGTTGGAGACATTACATATATTTTGATTTACTTGTAAATATTTTGTACGGGTTGCGACCACTTGGTGCCAATGATTATATGTAATCTTTATTTCAACAAAAAATTTTTTGTCTTCTAGAAGTGATAAGCAAAGTTGTTAGCTCAAGATTTTGAATGGCAAATTGGTCCACTACTACTTTGGAATCCATGTTTTTCGAAACATTCTTAATTCTCATGATGATTTGAAGTTTTTTATTTTTCAATTGTGTGGAATACAAGACGAAGTTTTCCGATTTGTTACTTCAACTTTTCGAAACTAGAGGTTGCGTTTTACTAAGTGGGGGTGAATGATGCAGGTTAGGAATATTATAGTATGGGTTTATGTCACTTTTATCATATGTTTATTTAATTGCAATCTTAATGCATTTGTAAGAGCATTTAGCTTATTTAGAAACTATTAACCTTAGTTTAATATGATAGTCCTAATAAGTTATTAAACACTACTGATAAATGGGTGATTCAACGTATTTGTCAGACTATTTATGAATACAAATTATTGATTCTTTCATTGATTGAGAGTTTAACAATTTCATGATAACTCCATGATTGTGATTGTTGCCATATGGACTGGATTTTTCTTTTCTTTTTTCCATTGTTCTAAGCCCTCTTCTATGATGCTACATTTGGCTATTTTATTTTCTTCCACTTTCCATGGTGTTGGAAGAATAAAGAAAATAGAGTGCTTCTGAAAGCAGCTCCTTTTGCTGGTTTATTCAGTGTTGTGGTTGGCAGAAATTTATTTAGTCTCTTTAAGACTGCTAATGTCATTTGTTTTTGAGAGGATAGGATGATTTTTTGCCTTTTGTTTGGTTTGAGGCTCAGACGTATTTCTTTGGTTATTTTGCCGAAAGATTGACTAGCTAATCTATATTGATAATTGTTTTCTCTCTCTACTTTTTTCCCCTTTTTTTATGTCTCCTCATTTTTGTTTTTAAAAAAACTCAAATTAGGGACTATAGCATTTCATCTTGTCTTATAGTTATTTATTTCTTCAATGTTATTCCCAAGTAATCAGGGAAGATGGCAGTCAAATAAGAGTTTTTTTATTAACTCTGTTATATCTTTCCGTTAAACTATTTGTGAATGGTCTGTTCATTTCATACTCCAGAGACTTGAAGGCTGAGAATCTTCTCTTGGGGTCTGATGGATTATGGAAGCTGTGTGATTTTGGAAGTGCCTCTACCAATCACAAGCGCTTTGAGAGACCTGAAGAGATGGGAATTGAAGAAGACAACATCAGGAAGTATACAACACCTGCATATAGGGCCCCTGAGGTTGAATGGAAGATTTGTTAAATTAAAAGCTAAAAGTTTTATAATATTTGGTGTTAACTGTGTCTAATTCCCGTCTTTATCCTTTTGATTGACATAGATGTGGGATCTGTTCCGGCGAGAATTTATGAGTGAGAAAGTAGATATATGGGTAAGTCAATTGGACCTCATAATTTTTGTGGCATACAGGATGTGTTGGATTAGACATGCTCTTTGAACTTGACGTATTGAAGTGCCTACAACATTGCAGGCTCTCGGGTGTCTCCTCTTTCGTATATGTTACTTCAAAAATGCATTTGATGGAGAATCAAAGCTGCAAATCTTAAATGGGAATTATCGCATCCCAGACTTACCTAAGTACAGCTCATTTGTTACGGAGCTGATCAGGGACATGCTTCAGGCCTCGCCAGATAACAGACCAGACATCACGCAGGCAAGCGCTTTGCTTGATTGGCCATTCATCTCCATGAACTTAGGTTAGTTGTAGATTGTCAGTGTCTGTGTCAATGCTAGGTGCAGAGCTTCTAACACTCTTCTCACTGATGCTGGGATTTTCTTCCCATGTTAACAGGTGTGGTTTCGTGTTAACGAGCAGTTACCTGTTAACTTACAGAAGTCATTGCCGGATAGACAACATGAAGTGCAGTCTAGTGGCATACATGAAGGTGAGGATATTTCTTTATACTTTTCAAGCTTCAATTGGCAGACTTTGTTGACTACCCAGTTCTTGAAAAATCTTAAATGTTCATTTGAAATGAAGTTTGAAGTCCTTGAAATTGGTGCTAGATGTTTCTGTAGCAAATGTCTTCATATGGGAAATAGTGCTATTGAAAATGCTGAAAGTTTAGCCTAAACCTCGATAAATGTTTCTTGATTTAAATTTGATCAGGTGCTCTTAGATCCGCAAATAAATCACCGCAAATGCCTCGAAGAAGTCCTCCACCTCCACCTTCATCTGGAGAAGCAGCTAGAAATGTATCACAGCCATCACATTCTTCTGGAGTATGTGGAGGACAACTTGGTGCCTTCTGGTCAACCCAGCATGCAAAAGATTCACTTTTCTTTGAAGACAAAACCAGATCTAAATTTGATGAAGAACCAACTAGCTACGACGCATTAAAGCACGAAAGAATTCGGACAGATAATCATTCTTTACCTAAGAACACTAGCCCTGCAAGAGGAGATAATGTAGAAGGCCATACTACTCGAGTAAATGTAAGTAAATCACACAAGCCTGAGGACAGTCTTTCAAAAGATTTTGAAGTACAATATTTTCATAAGGATGCAAATCCAGTAATCGAGAGGCCAGATGCGTCAAAAACTGGAAGTAGAGTTGCCTTTCAAGACGAGGCCTTTAATACTTTTGTTGCTGAATTTGATACCAATAAACTTAACCCTGGAATGAGTAATAGCAAATCAGGAAAAGAAGAAGAATTGGAGGCTGAAATAGAGAGACTAAGAGGAGAGCTGAAGGAGGTTAATATGGAGAAAGCTGAAATAACTTCCAAGTTTGAAAAGCTTTCTGCTATTTGCCGATTTCAGAGACAGGAGATACAGGACCTGAAGCAAGCTCTTGTTGCTAGAACTCCATCACCTAACAAAGATGTTTCTCGCAATCAAGCATCTCCGGGAATTTGTTCAGCTGCTATCCCGCTGGTATTGTAGCCTATCTTCTTATCTTTTTAGTACTTGAAAGCAGTTCCTTTTGCAGTAAAAAACTGTTCATTTGGTCCATTTTTTTTAATTGCATGTATTCTTATCCAAGCAGAGGGATAAAGTTGAAGGAACAGCAGCTTGGGAATTTCAGAAGGAGAATTCTGATTGGACTACACCAAGTCCTGAGCCAAAACAGTGGCAGGCTTTTGCTGATGATCCCCAGCCAGAGCAGCAACCTAATTCAAAAGGTAATACTGTCCAATCAGTTAGAACCAGGAATGGTAAGCCAAACAAGCAAGCTCCTCAAGCAACTTCTGGTTTTGAATCTTGGGGTTTTGGATCAGAGACTTTTACAGCTGTCCCTGTGCCAAGCGTTCAGAGGTCAAGAACTATCAGTGAAGGGAACACCTCACAGCGTTTTGGTGATTCGAAGATGAGAAACGACCAGACAGCTCACCAGCCTGCCGGGTGGGCTGGTTTCTAACTCAAGAAATTTGTTATATTACAAGAAGGCTAATTAGCCAAGAATGATGATATCCTTTTATTTTTGTATTTCAATTTGGGTAAGTTTTGAGGATTGGGGGGGGGGGGGGGGAGGGAATGGAAATATATGTTGTGGTGGGCTTGTTTTGTGCTGTTAAATACTATTTTGCAGATCTTCCTAGGCAGTGGAGCATCTGCACATGCTTCTCTGGAAATGAAGCAGCAAACTACAGATGTATACTTTTCTGCATATCTAATTTGCTGGTTATGAAAACTTTTTATTCCTGGTTTTATTTGATGATGATGTCACCGGTCCGACATTGTTGTTTTATTTCAGACCCAGTAGGTGATTACTCTCCTTTTTATTACCGAATTATGCGGCTGCAGTGAAGGAAAAAATGAAAAGAAAAATACACTTTGGCGCCATGCCTGTTGTCAATGAATTAATTGTTTTCTTTTTGGAAGATAA